AAGGGGACAGCCTCCAAAAGCCTCAATGTGGTCGGGAGTGGGTTCCTAGGGTTGCCGCTGGTCACCCTTCCATTGCACCTCACAAATGCTTCCATACGACCAAACGTCTCGAAAAGCCTCTGCTGAGGAAGCCCTACTCACTGCCTTCTCGTGGCTGAGGTGTTTCCCACAAAAAGCCGACATCCGGGAATATAATCGGGTTGGTGGACCACTGGTAGTTCACCTAGAGGAGTTGGCCAAAAACCCTGATTCCAAACCAATCATTAGGAGGCATACGAACCACACCCACACCTTTTCGGTTGTGGCAGTGGTTACCAGCTCATTTGGGCTTCAAGGTGTATTGGGCACCTTGGACGTTTGACCCCGTCCAGAGGGCATATGATCCGATGAAGCGGACACCGGCCCCAAATGGATTGCGGTTTTCGCACACCGTCCAGCTGCCTGGCGGGTCAGGCTTTGACTCGCAGAAAACTCCGGTTGTGGATCCCTCAAGAAAATTCACCTGCGCTGACCTGGGCAACCTGGCAGTATACCGCCTACATACCAATCATGGAACGCTTTTCTTTTTCATAAAGATTATTGTACCATGATTTGTTTTGCACAGTCTGGAATCCAATGTGTGTGAAAATATAAATATAATAGAGAGAGGGGACAACAAAGCAAGTGGTGGACGATAGGCTACTGGTTGCACACTGAAGGTTCGAACGCTTAAATGGCTTTATAAAAATTTTCTGTCTTGATCATAAGAAGCGTATGCATTGAATTGGTCTGCACTATGTTTTCGTGCATTAACTCAGCATCAGTTTGTGTCCGAAACACTCGTATCAAACTGTGATAAATTCTAAGTGACTTGGGAAATCAACTCCGATTGGGGAATTATTATTCGACTCACCTGCATTATGTCGATGCCCCGAGGCAAGCGCTTTTGCCATACCTCCTGATTGTAGCTGTGCAAGCGCATTAACCATTGCAGCATTGGCTTGAGAACTATTTATGTCCCTGGCGAAGCTCACCGGATCTGGAGCGGAATTGATCGGTGAATTGCGTTGTCCGAACGGAATATTGTGTGCGGAAACAGAACCAACATTACTTGTATGTGCCGCAGCCACATTCGACGGAGATAATGAATACAGACCGGAGGCTGCCAGTGCTGCCATTGCTTCAGTGTAACCAATTGAACTTGTGATTACAGAGGCCAATGGACCCCCGGTCAACTGTGAAGAAGTTGATACGGTTGGATTGAGAGAGGCAAATGCGTTAAAATAGGCGGCAGCTGTCGCCGTCGAGGGGAAAATCTGTATGGACAAGCGAGAAGGGTTAAGCAAAAAGGAAACGATGACAAGACAGACGTTTGAACAGTGAGATGAAAACTAATTCTAACAATCCCAAAAGAGATAGGCAAGCATGCAACTTATAATTTTTTTCATTTTTTATAAGGTAGAACCTAGAAATGATCAAAGAGAACAAGTCAGAAGAAGCACAACCGACGGCAGAAACTTTTGTTTACTTCATTTTTAATTAAATGGGATGGGAAGATTTAGNATTCACAATAAATATTGTCAAGTAAAACTGACCAGAAGCAGCCTGAATCTCGTTTTTTATCAACCGGAAATTAAAGAAGACAAAGAACCATGAACTTCCTCGTACTTTGCAATCAAAATCCTCAAGAAAGAACATCACTATCGATGGACACCAGAGGCCCAGAAAGCGTTCGATGAACTTCAAGGGCTCATAGCCGAACAACACCTGACGCTGAAGTTGCCGGTGATTAGTGAGCGCTTCACAGTTGTGACGGATGACAGTGACGTTGGAGTGAGAGCCGTACTCAAAAAGGCAAGTGGAGTCGTTGAATACACAAGTAGAGTCCTTATTCCAATGGAACAGAAATACTCCACCACAAAAGGAGAATGTCTTGCTATCGTTTGAGCAGTGGATAAGTGGTGACCGTATCTTCTGGGTCAAACGTTTGATATAGAAACAAACCACAAGTCACTGGAGTGGATTAGAACCACCAAGGACCCGAGGAAAACTAGCTCGATGGGCGCTTCAGCTGCAGGAGTGCGACTTCACGATCAATCATGTTGCAAGTGTCGAAAAATGTATGGCGGGTGTTTTCTGTTGTCAGGAACAGATTCCTTCAGTATCGGCATGTTGACAGTGAGACAAGAGTCACACGAATTAGTGAAGGAACAGCGCAAGGACCAAAAGCTCCGCAAGATGATTGAAGCAATCTCGCAAGGTCGACAATACCGTCCAATTCAGCCAATACCAGTATCCGAGATCGTTGAGTTATGCTGCACCAATCTCATGGGTCCATTTCCAGAGGACACCAATATATTGTTGTAATGACGGAGCACTTCACGCGTTGGATCGAAGATGTAGGAGTCGCAGATTAAAAAGCCACTACAATAAGCAGAACTGTGGAGCACATCGTGGGAAACCATGGTGTGCCGCAAGTCATCCTTACGGGTCAAGGTTTGTACTTTGAGAGTGACGAATTTCGCGCGTGCTTACAGAAATTAGGCATGAAAAGGATACGCCTAACTCTCTATCACCCACAAACTAATGGCCTCACCGAACGAAATAACAGAGCAGTCAGAGTGGTTGAAAGCGAAGAGGCAACTGGGAGTTGGCCCTACCTTCACCATTTTAGCGTACTGTTCGTCCTCGCTGGCCAGTACCAAACATACACCACTTCCACAGTTGTATGGAAGCATTCCCAAAGCTGCCAGTGGATCTCGACACTCAAGTCACATTTGTTGCAGTTAATAGGATCTAACCCACCTACAAAACGTCGAATTATAGTGCTGATTCATAAATGGACTGGCTCTGAAAGAGATGTCCATTCAAAATTACCGGGTGTTGAAAATGAGGTTATTGTGACGAAAATACCCTTCCCAGGTACAGGTATATGAATGAAGTGACAAGAGAATACCGGATACGCATGCCGGACGAGCGGCCAGACTTGCGAAACCGGTCACGTGCCTCCAGGGAAATTTTGTCGAATCATTCATACACTACTTATCACGAAGTATAAATAACTAAGAAGATGGATGCGAGAATGGCACCTAAGGAAACACCATCAATCACAGGGAACGGCCGATATAGGACAGAGATGGTTGACTTGCTGAAGAAACATTGCAGTCACGATACAAGGGACGGATGGAATCTGAACGTAGGTAAGACCAACAGCAAACCTCCGTACCCAATGCCTTTGAAAGAAAAAGGTTCCTTGATTTGCACGATGGTGCGATACTTTTAGGTCGCCCAGGCCGAAGCAGATGAATTTTCTTATAGAGTTCACAACCGGAGCCTTTGACTAACAAAAGTCTGATCCGCAAGGCAGCGGGACGGCGTGAAAACCCCTATCGATTGGGGGCCGGTGTCCAGGTCATCGGATCATACGACCTTCAGACGGGGTCAAACGTCCACGGTGGCCAATAAAACTCGATATCCAATCGANTCCAATCGAGCCGGTGACCACTGCCAAAACCAGGAAGACGTAGATGAGTGTGTGCTTTATGCGCCTCTTCTTCGTTGGGGTGAAATCAGGTTTGTTAGCCAACTGACTCTTCTATGCGAATAAGTGAACGACAATGGCAGTTATCTTTGCTGGAACACTGGCGGAATTGAGCAGGTCACTGACCAAGTCATCGTAACAATCACGACTGTGTCTAACGAACACCTTGCTTTATTAGAGCGGCACATTTCTACTTCGAGAATCAC